ACTATAACATATGGTATATGTAGGAAAAGAGGTGATATATCCAAATTTGAACAATGTAAGATCAACTTGCCCTCTTCTATGGTGAATCTCTAGATAAGGCAAGCCTGAGGCAGATTCAGGAGAGTGAGACTTTGCACCATGAGTTTCTGCCCAAGAGCCATCAGATCATGTAAGCACAGGTGGATTTCATACAGAGCCATTGGCTACCTTTGTGCTGCACCACCTCTTCCAGGGCAGTGCAGCACAAGGTAGCTGGGAGACTCTTCCAGGGCCTCAAGGGCTTTATTATCATGGATGAAAGTATATAGATTCACCATGAAATAAAAGAGAACCATCTGGAGCAAAATCCTTTTTTATTATTGTAGTTAGCATTCATTCTGGTGTGGGATACAAGCCATGCACCTCTTTGGGATGTTTGGAGTGACGTTTAAAGCTTCTCTCATACTACACAGGACTACATATGTGTTTATTGTATGAACAATTGCTGCAAATATTTGGATGCATGAAATTATTCCTGTGCTTTCAGGGTACCACAGAGAATGCAAGGAGAGGGCTGAGACTTAGTACTTTAGGTCCCAGGTCATACCTTAGAGCAGTATCATTTATCACTTACTACCTATGTATGAAATCAGCATAGATGTAAAATGGGATCAGAATTGTAGCTAATCATAGCCTAGGCCTGTACCGTAATTAAAAGACATTATTCTTCAGTCTTAGAACATGAGAGACTGATTAGAGTATTAATTAATGAATTGTGGGAGGTGGGTTTATTTTCTAGAAAGCCTGTGGAGCTGATGACAAAGGAGGCCAAGGGATAGAGGAGCCATTTGTTTAAATAACTGAAGTTATTTTTGATAATTTCTCTGTCCTTTGCTTTTAAAGAGACCATTTAAGGCTGGCATGTTTATCAGTACCACACTCTGCTCTGCTTGGCAAGCAGACAAGATGAGTTCAAAGAAAAGTGTAAAGGAGATGATGCATGGAGTCACCTGGCATCAGTGAGCCTCCAGCAAACTTCTTCCTTGCTAACAGAAGTTTGTCTCCTTCCCTGCTTTGTGTAGAGTGATGCTGGGAGTACCCTGTTTGGCACCTTCATCCAGGGCCTCTTCTCAGTCTTTTGGTGTGGGTTTTTTTTGTTTGTTTGTTTTGGTTGGTTGGGGTTTTTGTTTGTTTGGGGTTTTTTTTGTTTGTTTTGGTTGGTTGGTGGGGTTTTTTTTGTATTTGGGGGTTTTTTTGGGTTTTTTTTGGTTTTTTTTGCTTTTAACTTCTTTTTTCAGGGAGGTTGTGTGTCTACTTGTCCACTAGCTTGGGCCTGAAAGAAGACTATTTATGATCTGCTTTTCTTTGATTATTCTTAATATCACCACTCCACCTTCCATGCCAAATTGTCTTATTCAGCTAGAAAAGCAACCTTCTAGAACTTGCTTTTAACTTCTTTTGTCAGGGAGGTTGTGTGTCTACTAGCTTGGGCCTGAAAGAAGATTATTTATGATCCGCTTTTCTTTGATTATTCTTAATATCATCACTCCACCTTCCATGCCAAATTGTCTTATTCAGCTAGAAAAGCAACCTTCTAGAACTATTTTTTTCATTATGATAGTCAGGTTCCTCTAAGAGTAGTATTTAACACTACTGTAGGAAGAGAGTAGTTTTTTGTTTGAATGCTTTAACAGTCCTCAGTGTTAAGGTGCAGTTGAAAGTTTTCTTTTTCTTTTTTTTTTTTTTCTTTTTTTTCTTTTCTTTTTCTCTCTTTTTTTTGGTTTGGTTTGTTTGTTATTTTATATCACCCTAAGGAAAGTGAGAAAGGAAATTCTATTTAGATTTACAGCATTTGGAGGATAAACTAGGACAAATAAGATTCACATTCACTGCACTGTTAATATTCAAGTATATATGTATAATTTTTTTTTACCAACCTGCCATGCAACACTCAGGTGCTATAAATTCAGTACAGTGTTTCCCAATCCATTTGGTTTTGGAGAGCTGTGAGGAGGCAGAAGCCATTGGTATTATGGTAGCAACTCCAAGAGCAGTGCTGTGCTCTTTTCATTTAAAGCTATTCAGTCTGTACTGTCAAATGATCGGTTTTAGAGCTGCTTTTAAAAAGCTGTTTATCAACACAGCTGTTAAAGGATTTATTCCACATTAGTGTACACTCACAATGTACAGGTCTGAAATAATTTTCCAGTATTTTTCCTTTCAGCACATAAAGCACCGGATTCATCTCATATAAGTCCAGTCTTCAAAATGAGGTATCTGGAATAGGAATATAGGAGCTATATTCAGTAGGGAGTAAAAGGGAAGAGTTTAAATTTCATAAAGTAGAGAGCAGCAGCCGTCTCAAAATTAAATCTTTTAAGAAGGTTAAGATATGGAGGAGGCAGTTTCAGCACTCAAGCTTGAAGATTAAATTTAAGGGCATGCAAATCAAAATGCTTCACTGTGGTTCTAGCCAGTATTGAACAGAAGTGTAGGATTCATAGATGGGACAGGGAGGCCAGGTTCTTCCATTGTTTTAGATAACTCAACTAAGGTGCTGGTGGTAGTCTAACTACCACCTGGTAGTTAGAATGGCTAGTAGCTGGCTCAGTGGAATTCGGGAAACCTGTATAATTAAGTCAGATTTTAGAGGAATCCTGAACACAGCATAGCATGAGACAGGCCATGGTGATTTACCAGATAACTTTATCATTGAGTGAAAGTCTGAGTCACAAAGGTTGGATGTTCATTTCTGTTTTGATTAACTTCTGTGAAATACAGAAATATGACCATCAGCAGCATCTGACCTAGTTAACTGAAGGGTTACCCAACCTAATTACTGGTCATTCAGTGTGGAAAATGTGGGCAAGAATAATCTTGGAGTTTTTATGTCTGTCTCCTGAATAGATAAGAACTGTTCATAGAATGATTTTAGCTAGTGAGATGAAGAAATCTGCTCAGTATATATACAGTATACTCTGTAATAGTATACAGTATACTCTGTATACTATTACAGAGTATACTGTAACTCTTTCAATTTCAAAGGAAAATGGTCAAAAATAACAGAGAGGAATTCATGGCTTGTTACCTAAGGCCCCAAAATATACCTACCTAAATGTAGACTTCTTGTCTGGTATTCTTCTGAATTATGATGCTGTTATTCTATTTTGTCAAATGTTTATCAAGAAATATGTTTGGACTGTGTTTTGCATTTGTGAATTTTAAGGCTTCTGTACCTAATTCATTACTGCCAGGGAGGAAGTTGACTATACACAACATGTATTTGTGTATTTGCTTGCATTTGTAGTTCACTGAAATTCAATGTGTTATTCATGTACAGATAGCACAAAAAGTGGTTGGACATAGATAAGCAAATTCAATAATTCTGAAGACATCTTCAGAATCTGGATTTATATAACACATTGCAGGCTTGTGACACTTACTCTGATCAAGTCACTTACTGATCTGTCAATTGAGACTTGTCCTAATAAAGGCTTGAAGATTATAGGGCCACAACTCTAGCATAATTAAAGAATTAATTGTGTCATTGATTCTCTATTTATTTATCTACTTACTTAAGGCTATGATTTTCTCAAACGTTGTCTCAGAATCTTTTGATTAACTTCTGTGGGCTCAGGCCAGATTGAAAATATGTGTCAAAACTTGTGTACAAATTCCAAACCTAGATTTTAGAGCAGTAATTTATCCCTAAAAAACCATAACCAACCAACCAAGTCAAAAACCTTCCTACATAATGTTCTCCTTGAATTAGATAACTATGTCCAGTAGAAATTGGATTAGTTCCCATATGTCCTAGTGGAGGTCTGAAAAGACAAGCATGTGCCTTTTCAAGGCAGTTATTCTGTTTTGTAATTATATGTAGCTGTAAATTTAAGTTGGGCATTTACTCTTCATTTCAGGCTACTGTGGGCTTCTAATAGAGTTTTCTTTTTGAAGCAGCAGCTGGGTGCTTGTACAACAGCTTCTCTGAGAGATGGTTGGTGTATGTTATGGTAACAGATGAAGCCTGCTTAGGGTAATGTGGTCTTACAGTCATGAGAATTATTATTCTGCATTTTATAAAAGAAAATGAAGTGTTAAAGGATTTAAATCAGTTTTGTTTTTTTTTTAAATTACTTGTTTTCATCAGAGATGTGCTTGAATCTGCTAAAAGCAGTTTTGAGATTTATAGCTGTTACTGAAATTATAAAGTGTTAAAGGATTTAAATCAGGGGTTTTTTTTGAAAAATTACTTGTTTTCATCAGAGATGTGCTTGAATCTGCTAAAAGCAGTTTTGAGATTTATAGCTGTTACTGAAATTATGGGGAAAAGACCCTGAAACACAGTGCCTGAACACTTCTCAGAATCAAGTCAAAAGATGCTTGCAGGTGGGTAATACCTACCCTGAAACGCTGACCAAACTGACTTGTCAGGAATGTGATTCCAGGAGTGCATCTTCCATGGTGTTTTGACTGGAGTCAGGAGTGCAGAATTTAATCTGCTTTTCATACTTTCATTTATATCAAGTGATTTTGGTCCACAGGAACTGCATGTCAGGAGCTCATGTTTCACTGTTCAGATTTGTCACTAGTGGTCCCCAGCACTTTGTTGTGCTAAAGGCAGTGTGGCTTTAGTAGTCCTGCTGCACTGAAGGTCAGATGAGCTGAACTTCAAATAAGGAGTCAGTTAGCTAGGGAAGGGACCCAACTTCGTTCTTTGTATTACAGATCAAACTAGTGACATGAAGTGACAACTTACCTAGAATAAAAAAGAAATTTCTGACCTTTTTTTTTTTTAAATACTGTTTGCCAATTTTTTATAAGGTTTTTCAGTTTATAATTGTCCCTTCTGTTCCTAGTAGGAGAAAAAAACCTGAAACAACAAAAAGAGCCAGCACCACCAAAAAAATATTAATCTATAGAAGTAATTCTCTTTTAGTGTTTAACACCTTGATAAATTCAGTAACTGGATTAATGGCTATTGTTCACAACTTTACTTTTCTATTTTTCTTGTTTGATAGGTGATATATGCCCTGAACACTAAGAATGATGAACATGAGGACAGTATACAGGCTTTGAGAGAGGCTCATGAAGAAGAAATTCAAAATATTCTTGCTGAGACAAGAGAAACGATTCTCCAGTGTAAAAGCAAAGCTGAAGAAGAACAGTTACTGAGAAAGCATATTCAGGCCCTTGAAATTGCAGTAGCACAACACAAGAGATTGAAGGAAGAAGCCTTAGCAGAGTTAATATTGTGTAAAAAGCAAGCAGAAGAGAAGGAGTCAAGAACAGAAGAGAAACGAGCACAGACGGGCCTTTCTACAGACACAGCAGACACCACTTCAGGCTTTGAAAACAAACCTCTACATTTAAATCAGGAGTTTGATGGACTGCTAAATGAATGCAAAGCATTTAGAGGAGAAAATCTAGATAAAAAAGTAAATTTAGATGAAAAATGTAGTGTGGAAAGGCACACTGTAATGAATGAGATAGAAAACCTGAAGAGCGAGAACCAGAAAACATCTGAAGAATATACTCAGAAAACAAGAAAACTGCAAGCCCCATGTGAGACAGACAAAGAGACCTTGAAAATAGCTATGCAGCAATCTGTGAGAGAAGAAAACTGTGAACAAGGAGAAACAGAGCAAAAGAAGAGCTCAGAGACTGAGGAAGGTTTTTTGCTGCAGCAGGTAAAGAAGCTGGAGGCAGACCTAGAGGAGAAAAGCCAGAAGATAAATGAGAGGAAGAAGCATTCCCAGAAGCTGAAGGAGCGGATACAGGTAGAGCTAATCCCTATCTCTGCCTGAGAAAGTGAAAATTATCAATTCTTTAATATTTGGGAGAGGAGGATCTTTTAAAGATCATGTTGATTCAAATGCTTTTTAAGTAGTAAAGCAGTTTTAGAGGCTTAGAATGGAAATAGGAGTGATATAATGCTGGCATTTTTAAAGATAGAGTTAAGATGATTAGTAACTCATTAGGAGAACACTTTGAACACTATAATTTGTATTCCTTGAGGGAGGAGTGAAGTAAAATTTATCTGTTGGCTGAACTGAAGAAAGTTTTACGTTTTCTGTCCAGAAATGTGACAAGAACAACACACAGGCACTACTGCTACCAATGAGTGTTTGTTTACAGAGCACATTCTCCTTTTCCCTTGCGGTTGCCAGTAGCTCAATGCATGGCTATAAAGAGGGTTAGATATGAGACCTGAGCTGGCAGGTTAGGAATCAAGTGTTTTGTATGACTCTTGCAGCAATGGCTTGTACCAGGTGTCATTTAATGAAGTGTCCTTTACACTTGTGAAGTTTTATGTGCTGAGCTGTGCGACTTTGGCCATTGGTTCTCACCTTGCACTCTGCCCGCCCGCCCTCACTGCTGTGTATCTCACACATTTGCAGCACAGCTCAGCAGACCCTTCCTGGTTGCATCATGTGTCAGATGCAGTTTCAGAGGTTGGCATGTCATGGGAAATCTGCCAAACAGCTGCTTTTGGTACCTAAGGTCAGAGTGCAGGAGAGATGCTGATGCACAGTGCTGAAATCAAAGCACCCAGCCATGCTCTGTGCTCATCAGTTCAACTTCTTTCTGATACTTTTGGTCCTTTACATCACGTAAACTCACCTACCTGACATGCCTCCAGCCCTATGATGGCAATCTTGTATATTAGATAAGAAAACACCTTGAAAGTCTAGACTTGGAGTATTACAGAATAACAAAAGTTGTTCCCTAATTGGAAAGAAGATTTTCTTCCTTTGGAGGAAGAGAGCCCCAGAATTCTGCAGGGAGCAGGGTCAGCCCAGTCAGCTGTGTTCTTCTTAACTGTTTTCACCATCTGCCCTCACATCTTGCTTGCCACTATTGTTTTGCTGATGATGCAGAGTTCTGAGCTACTTCTTTGAGGATGTTCTTAGAGGGAGTTCAGCCTTCAATACAGTCCCCACCTCTTTGTTTTACAAGATCAGAGGATGAATTGAATACACCTTTCCCAACATTATTCAGATTTCATTGTCTCAGTGTGTAGATCTGTAGCAGAACAACCTCTATCTTCTTCAGAAAAGTGAAGAGGATACAATGGATGGCAGAGATGCAATTTTTTTTAATTAAGCCAATCTGTAATATTTTTTCAGTACTAAAAGTATCCTGCCTCTGTAGAAGTTGGAAGCATTAGAGGAAAAGAGAGAAAGGAAGATTTTGATTTTTTTTGTGTGTACATTAGATGAGGTTCAGGGAAAATTAAGATTAAACACATGAAAATTTATGTGCATGGTTTACTCTTCTGATTTATTGTATAAGAAATGCGGTAATTTAGGAACAAATAATGTAAACTATTACATTATTTGTGGAAGTGGAAGAGGAATTACATTATTTGTAGAAGTGGAAGTAAGAGGATGGTGTCATTAGCAACTTATTTTCTAAATTCAGTTTCAGCTGGGTAAAACTGAAATATTTTCTGAAGAACATATGCTCAACTCATACATTTCAAATCCTCTAAGTCTGTGGAATGAGGCTGATTTACATACCACTGGAGCATATTGCCTTGAATCTTTGAAGAGATACCTTCAAACTAGGATAAATCTGGAAGTAGGGAAAGAGTTAGACATGATGTTGATTTCTGTTTCTTTACAGTTTGAACAAAAAAAAAATTTCTCCTTTCTAAATTGACTATTTTTTATGCCACCATTTTTTCAGACTTCTTTGGACAATGGCAGACAGGGAAGTGGAAACATCTTTTAAATCAGAAACATCTTTGAGCATTAGTAAATACTAGCAGGAAAAGCATTTTAAGGCTTAAAAGGTGAAAGGACTATTGATTCAACAAGATGAATTTTCCTGTTTTCTCCTTAGTGTATGCCAAGAGGTTTGAGACCTTTAGATGAAAGGCATTACATTAGTACACATTTATTATTACTGCTGTCAAAGGAGAATACAAAGGTTGACAAATAATAAAGTCTGATCTGTTCAGTCTAGTTTGGAAGAATTCTGGCATATATGCCAGAGGTAAAAGTAGCACCCTTACCTTGAAGTTTTGAGCTACAGAGAGTGTTAAATACTGTTAATAAATGAGGTTTTACTTCACATTCGTATAGGAAAAAAAAGGCAATTTTATCTGAATGAGTATTGCAGTATTATGCTAGACATCTGAAACTGCAACTAGAACTTCCAGAAATAGAACATTCTCTATGGTTCATTTTTTTTCCATTAGTTTTGGAAAGACAACTCCCAGCAAAGTCTGGACACAAGAAGTCCCAGCAAAGTTGGACACAATTTTTTTCTGAGTTTAGGCATCTGTATAATGGATTATGTTACAAACTGTTGTATTTCAGCAACTGAAAAAGCCCTAATTAATGTTCATTAACTTTTGGCATAAATTGTCATGAAATTATTAGAAATATAACCTATTTCAAGTATAGGATAATCTCAGACATCTTTTGGATGGTAACTATTGATGGGTATTCACTTTACAATGATGCCAACTATGTGTGAGGGAAGGGCTCCACATCACAAATATTCCGGCAGCAGAGACAGTTTAAAGGTATGGAAGAGCAAAAAAAAAAGCATTTAAACCAGCTCTGTAGGTGATTTATATAATGGAACACCAAGAGAGAAAATGACCATTTATTTCTCATTACAAGAAAATTACATATGTAATAAATATGAAAGTAATGTCATGCATATTTTAGGATTTGGAAGTGTAGCTTAAGTGAACACAGCAAGAAATTCTGGGATCAAAATGTATAGTGAAAAAAGAGGAAGAAGATCTAAGTGTAGTCAAAGAGAGAAATTCACATCAAGAAAAGGAAATCCTGCATAAAGCAGGTAAGATGCTCATTAATGTCATTCTAAAGTATTTCCCATGTTAGTATTCACTGATATTGGAAATTCTGCAAGTTATTTATGCTACTTGAAATGTAAATTTTGGCACTACAGAAGATATGGAAGTTACATTGAATTCCCAAAGCAAAGCTGTTAAAAAAGTAGATGAACTGAAACATCAAATAACGCAGCCGCAGCAAATGACTTGTACCAAAGAGAGTCAGGAAAGAGCAGCTCTGAAGATGTGCAAGAGCTTTAACAGGTGATTTGCTCTCAACTATTCAAAGACATGGCATACCAAAAGTACTGAAATCAACATAGGTTTTTTTTTTACCATTGATGGCTTTATTGTACAGAAGTCAATCCTGTAGGATTCCCAGATCCCTGAGCTCATTCAGTGGAACACTGACTTGTGTTCATAACATGAAGTACCTGAGTTCCTACAAAGAGAGCAAAGGAGTCCTTGGGCTAGACCAGGGCATAGTGTTCAACTGTTTCTGTAACCAAATCCTTAAAGAGAACAATGGCTACGGCAGACTTTCTCTGCTGAGGTCAAGCTGGAACACTGATTTATTTATTTTTAAATATAGAAAATGGTTATTCTGAAAAGCTGTGCAGAAAGGATAGCAGGAATAAACTCAGTAAAATGAGGAATGTGTGTGTGCTGAGAGTACCCTCTGTACAGTATCTCCCCTTAAGCAACTGTTCAGCCCTGAATCTTTTCTACACTTCTTAGTTCTCTTTAACTATTGTTAGGCTGCCATTTAGGAAAATTGAACTTGGCATCACAGTCAGCAAATCATCTACTCTACTTTTTCACAGGACTAAGGATGTCCTTGAGGGAGCCTGCATGGTTGGAAGCGAGCTCAAACTGAAGCTCAAACCAGAACAAAAAATCCCAAATAATTCCTAGACTGCAGAAGAGGCTTACCACCCTGAATCAGTTCACGTCTACATTTTTAACTAAAATAAAGCCAATATTTTTTCAATGGAGTATTGCCACCTAAATAGCAGTTTCACTACAAATTAGACTACTGTGAACCCAGAGTTTTATCCTGGGGATTTTTTTTTTTTTTTGGTGTAATATATCTAGTGTCTTTTATAGACTATGGAAACTGTAGCTGTTTACACAGAAGGTATGAATAAAAGAAAGAACTTTCTTAGTAAAATCAAGCATCAGTACTATAAGGAAAAGATTTGTCTGAAGGAATAGCTGTTAAAAGGAATGGTAGATCATGTAATGAAGGCTACAAAGGAAATCAGGCCAGTCTAAAACTTCATGGAATCAGAAAAAAAAATAGCAGAAGGTAGGAATGTTCTTCTATTTATAGATGCTTTAATTCATCTGGTTTTAATCTTATTGGTCACAGCAACATCATTTGAATTATGCTCACTGTAGGCACTTTGAATTAACATAAAATGCCAGGATGTTCTTGCTACAGAAAAAAAAATTAGAAAAAGAAAAAAGGTCAGACTGATTTATTTCTGTGAAAGGCTCCAAAGACAGAAAGGTGAATTTATCCTTGATGGGATAAATGGCCTTCTTAGCAATACTTATCCTTGCATTCTTTGCATGTGGCAGTTGGAGTGTTTTATATAAGATCCATCCTGAAGAAGAATGTATTGTGGGTCTTATTCCAATTTCTGAGTTAAATTTTCATGGATTGCTGCTGTGAAATAGATAAATTTATTTAATCCAAATTTTGCATTGATTAGGCAGAGGATCTAATTCTGCAAAATGTTGGTAAATTAATTCAGAGTGCATGTGTTACCAATGAAATTACAACTATTCAGAATGCATACCTACATACATACATACATATATCTATATATATATATATATCCCTATTTAACTTTAGTCAGAAAGAAGGTTCATCTTGTAGATCCAAACAGCTTACCTCAGCAATACCTTTTTTTCAGTGTGTTTTAAGTGTTATTTTTGTTGTTGATGTGCATTAGCAGCAATTGGCTTAAGAGATTCTTCAAAGAATTTCACTGTCATCAGAGCTGCTGTCTGTGACTGAATCCTTTGGCTTTAGGAAATTTGCAGTCTCTAATGTTTTTTGTGCAGTAGGAACCTAAACATGAGCTGAATTCTGTTCAAAGGGAGGATAACCTTGAAGCACACGTTTAGTTTTAAGCATGTGCTTTAATGATTAGTGGAGCTCACAAGTCAGTGCATGTCTTTGATTTGCCAAATTTGAGCATAAGCTGAGGGGTTATAAGTTAGGTTCTGACTCCTAATGGACTTCAGTGTTCATCAAAGATCTAGACAGAAAAAGAAGGTTGGTTTTGGACCCTTCTTGGTGCTAAGAATGAACTTCTACCCATTTTCTGCAGTTTGCACTGCTATAACTTTCTGAGTTCAGTGTTTACTTGAGAATAATTAACACTTGCTGACAAGTTGAGAAGTCATAAAAGCAAGCAGCTGCTGTCCCTAAATGTTGAGCTTCATAGTAGCTGCCCAGTCTTGGAGACTAGGAATTGTGTTTAGTGCTGCCAAGAGAATTAATTTCCATGAAACTGCTGGAGTTTATACATTTATACAATCTTATTTCTCAAAATTGAACCTGGGTGAGTAAATTATTTTATCTGCTTATGGAATGGCTCACTTTTGATCAGTACCTGAAGATGCAGTCCTTCAAGGTACATAGTTACCCTAGTGAAGCCTCATGGAAATGACTTTGCCTTTTATATAGTGTATTTTACTTATAATTAGCTTGTACATGTATTCTTAAAATTACACCAGGCTGAAGCTCTTCGTGTGAGTCGGATTGAATTTAAGTATCACACACTTCATACTTTAGAAAAAAGGCATAGTAGCAGACATTTTTTAAGATATCAATAAATATTATAATAAATATTGTTACTTTTAAATATTATTACTTCTAATAATATCTTCTTAGAGATTCATATTAATTTAATAATAAAAATATTGAGTTAGTAAAACAAATAAAATTACAGTTTTTTTCATTATTGTTGCTGTTTATATCCTCTTAATCAACTGAGGCCTGTAACAGCTGTTAAGGAAACGTTATATCTATTTTTCCAAACAGAAAAATTGAAATACAGAGAAGAAAGTCAGTTGACAGAGATGAAGTGGGAATGTTGCACCTGATCTTCACGTTTTAATCAAAAAGACAGTTATATCTGCTCCTTTTTGTACATGCAAAATTAAGCTAATTCCACCCTTGCAATATCTATGTATCTGTTTAATTCCATCCTTTAATTGCTACCTAAGTTTTACACAGGGGTGTGTGAGAAGCAGCTGTACAGGATGGGGGAGGTGTTAAGTAGTTATTTTTTTCAGTTTCCTTCATTTGTAGTGCATGAAGACACTGTAGAATGTTTTTTGAGTGAGCAAATTTGCACAAATAGGAAGAGCAAGCACACTCATGAATTTGTAATGCATGTCACTTCAGGAAGTTTCTACAAGTTGCACATTCAGTCTTTCTACAATAACTAATTGCTAACACTTGCTACAAACAATTGCTACAAGCTCTTGGTCACTGTCTTGCAACTGATGCTCTCATTGATTTTTTTAACTATTTCCAGCAACATGGCAATTTTATAATCCTCATTTTTTAATTATTATTTTCTTTTCTTTTTATTTCCTCACCATTATTTTCTTTATGGATGCTGTCAGATATTGCTTCCTTTGATTCTCTTTCCACTAATTGCCCATTAGTCATCTTGTTATTTATATGGCCAATGTATATTTATGGTTTTTGAGGTCTTGTGGGTGACTCTTGCATACTAAATAATTTTTGAAGATTAACACCACTCTAGACAAAACAGTCAGACTCTTCATGCTGTGCAGTTTTACACCTTAAGGAAGCTTTCAGTGGAAGATTAGGATAATGTGAGCTGTATTGTCTCGCAGTAATATTAGAAAGAAGCAAACCAAACTTAATATTTTAGATTAAATAACATGGGTGACATTAAATGACAGTAGGATGTACTGTTGTGCACACTGCTGTATTATCTGGGGCTTTCAGTAGAAGATTAGGATAATGTGAGCTGTATTATCTCACAGTAATATTAGCAAACTGTTAATATATTTTAAATTAAATAACATGGATGACATTAAATGACAGTAGGATGTACTGTTGTGCACACTGCTGTATTATCTGGGTTAAGGTAGAAGAAATATGTTCTTTTTCATGCTGCATGTTTTGTCCCATCTATTGCATGCTCTTGTCTTCTTTTTTTTTTTTTTTTTTTCATTTTAGGAGCTCCAGACACAGCTAGATGAATTTAAAAGAAAATCCGAGTGTGAACTAAAGCAACTAGAGAAAGAGAAAGAAGTTCTAACTGGGAAACTTCAAAACTCGTCACTTGAGGTAAACTGGGCATAAATATAATGCAGTAATAAAAAGTCTCTTCATTTTTCATCCCATCTGAGAGGTTCTGGATTAGATTTTAATGCTATTTGTTGTGTCTGTCACTCAATAGAATATGCAAGGACTCCAAATAGAAATAACAGAAATAACTGCTTCTAAATATCTATGAAGAGTTTGACAAGCCTATTTATTTTATATATTACTCTTTGGAGATGTGCTAAGGTGAGGAGTTTGCCTATATCAGGGTTGCAGAGTGACTCTGATTGTTTATTTACAGGCAGAGTGAGATTAGAATCTTCCTTACAACTCCTGTTAATTTTCTGATTTGATTTAATGCATAGAGATGTGTCTTCACTGATTCTAACCAGTTTCACTTCCCTCAAGTTCAGTGGGGGTTTGCATGGCAACAACTCTGCAAAAGATGAAGACCTAGATCTTCTTCAGCTGACATTTGTAGCCTCTCAGTGGCCATAATAAATTCTTGCTGAGTGTTTAAAGACAGAGAGAGGACAGATAGGCTCATGAGGAGGCTAAGCAAAACATTGTCCTCCCTTTACTGCCTCCACTTTCCCACATGACATTATTACCCCTTGGTGTGCATGTTCCAGTACTCAGGGCATGGGTTGTTTGTTCTTATTTATGGTAAGCCACGCCTGGTTTTTCTCCCATCTGTGCTACACTAGCTGTACTAGTTATGAGTGCAGCATGGGTTTTTCTTTTTAATTTCTTCTCTAAAACATTCTGTTAACATACATTCTGTTATCAAACAGTGACATTCTGACATTCTGTCTATTTCCCAGTCTTACAAATACAGAATTTAAGTGTAGTTTAATGTTCTGAAATTTCTGGCTATTTTTAAGTTTCGTTACACATTTCTGCATGCCACTTCCCTGTGAGAATTTTGGGTCAATCCAACCTGTGTTGGCCTATTCAGAGTGAAAGGTTTATGACATGAAGGTTTATTCCTCAGGTTTTGCAAATGCAAAAGATAAGGTCATGGGTAATCAAATTACTTTTCTTGAAAGGACAGTAAAATATGAAAGAAACTTGTTTTCTAACTGCTCATCCAGTCGCATCACAAGATCATGGTAAATTGGCAAAGAGTGATGGAAAATTATTGCCACCATAAACATAAATAATATTAAATAGTATGTAGCATGCCATATGTCATGTTCACGGAGCCATGGTAAATATGAAGATACCCTAAGAAACATTTTATTGTATCTTAGAATCTGACTGATCTCAAAAAGGAGGAAATGCTCCATTTAAAGAGAAATTTTGCATTTTTGTTGATTACTCCAGAAGTTACTTTCTGATCTAATTACTTGGCAATATTGCCAGGGTAGTGAAGTCATTTCAACTTGTAATAGTTTCCTGCTGTAGGTACATGAATATTCACAGCCAAGAAAGCACCATTTACTATATAATATTATGTTTCACTTAGGGCATGTTTCCCATCTGGGAACCTTTGCAATGGCTCACCCAGAGCTTCCGCCTCAAAGGTTAGGCAATGTGCTGTTACTAATCCAGTTCTAACCTGGATACAATTTCAGACCTAAAAATAGCTTTCTTGGCTGCCTAAGACCTGTTTTTGGTTTGGCTGACATAGCTGGAGCACTATGCAAAGTAGACAAAAGAATGATAATTTCATCTCTCTGGGGTTGCACTTCAAAGTGGCAGAATTTCTGTATTAATAAGATTTTTGTGGATAAAGAAATCAGACTTGCATCTCTTTGGTCATTTGGAAGGAAAGATGTGAGATCCTGTGTGGGTTGAATGCTAATTCATTAGGGCTCTCCAGTTCCTTGGTTTTGAGCTACAGGATCTCTTCAGCATGTGTTAGAGGATCTTGGTGCCACAACACAAGAAAAATATGAAACTATTAGAAAGTGTCCAAAGGATGGCTACAGGGATGGTGAAGGGACTTGAGGGGAAGCTGTATGAAGAGCAGCTGAGGTCACTTGGTCTGTTCAGCCTGGAGGAGACTGAGGGGAGACCTCATTGCAGCCCAGAACTTCCTTAGGAGGGGAAGAGAAGGGGCAGACACTGATCTCTTCTCACTGGTGACCAGTGACAAGACCCAGAGGAATGGCTTGAAGCTGTCAAGGAAGGTTTAGGTTGGATGTAGGTTTTTCTCCTAGAGGGTGGTTGGGCACTAGAACAGGCTCTCCAGTGAAGTGGTCACAGCCATCAAACTGACAGAATTCAAGGAGTGTTTGGGCAATCCTCTCGGGCATGTGGTGTAACTCCTGGGGATGGGGCTGTGCAGGGCCAGGAGTTGGACTTCTATGATCCCTGTGGGTCCCTTCCAGCTCAGAATATTCTACATTTCTGTTCTATTCTGGAATTAGAAGATACATAAAATGGAAGTGCAAACATCAGCTTGTCATGATACATCTTTGTACAATGCTAGCACAGCAATGCCCAGAGTTTTTATGAATCTTGAAGATTCCACCAAATAGCAGCCAAAGAACACAGTCAGAAATTCTTCTGGTCAGGAATTGCCACAACTTTAGGAATATTGTTTCTGTGAACTTAATTGAAGTAACTCTGAAATAAGCCTAAAAAACCTGTGAAATACAATTTATTTTGCTTTTACTTCTTATGCCATATTACTGTTTATGTTATGTTAGGTAGTGTTTGCATCTCTGAGATCGCTTTATACAATTCTGGTAGATGAAAGTGAATTAGTAATGTAATTAAAGTACAGTTTTTTCAAGAACTTTTGTTTTGCAGCAGGAGGACATTATTAACCACAAAATCCCAGAGTGTTGCTTTGTTAATAATGAAAACATCCAAATAGATTCTGGACTGATGTGAACTTTATACAATTCTTGTAGATAAAAGTGAATTAGTAATGTAATTGAAGTACGGTTTTTTCAAGAACTTTTGTTTTGCAGCAAGAGGACATTATAAAACACAAAATCCCAGAGTGTTGTTGCTTTGTTAATAATGAAAACATCCAAATAGATTCTGGACTGATGTGAGTTGGCAGAGTTTCATTGGCTTAAATGCTGCTTTACCAACTTAAGCAAATTGAGGGTCTGTCTACCTGTTTACAAGTCAGGAAGCAGAAAAAAAACTTGGGCACTGCAAAACATTCCAGAGAAGGATTTTCACTGGTGGATTTGAAAACCTTTTTAATTGCCAGACAGGAGGAAGAAACTGATAGGATGGAATTGTTTGTCTCAACCTCTGTTAGAAGTACAAGGATTCATAAGAATGTTGTTGCATGCCTTAGGACAGGAGGAAGAAACCTGATAGGATGGAATTGTTTGTCTCTTAACCTCTGTTAGAAGTACAAGGATTCATAAGAATGTTGTTGCATGCCTGATATATCTGTATATGTTAATATGTTGTATGCCTGTACATCTCTTAAAAACTGAAAACAATGGTTTTAAAACTACTTTTTGATCTGATTTCTTACTACATTATGTTCCCAGCTTAGCCTGTTTCTAGTTAGTATGATCTTTTGTTCCATATGAGAAGTCCTTTGGGCTAGTACTTGTCTGTGAAGAGTTGGGGAAGTTTATAACAACATGACCACAGGTGGAGTTTATATAGGCCTCTATTGATCTTTCCTGTCTAGCTGACTAATCTGCTTAAGAAGTATTCCAAGTAATGTTTTTCCTGTTTCAAATTTTTCCATTATAAAATATACAGCCTATTTTTCTGACACATTTTTTCAGTCCCTTTATTTTCAAGAAGCTCATTAAAAAATGCATACTTGAGTGTAGTGATGCTAATGCATGTTGTGTCAGCTGATAGGGACTGTACAGCATTATGTCTTTCACATCAAAGTTTAGGTTTATAAGGAACTGCAGTACCTAAAAACTTCAGTGTTTCTTTTCTTTATACATGAAAATATTGGCTTGAGTTCAATAGGTGTGAAAACAAAGTAGGTTTTTTGCCTGTAACCAGAAACCAAAGTGCCTCTGATTAAATCTTATGATTTACCACATATTTCTTTAAAAAGTAATAAAAGAAATCAATCATCTCTTGAAACAAAAGTATGGTTGGCAGGTGGCTCTGGCATCTGCCTATTCTTGGAGTGTATCCAGGCCACAGACAGATCCCATTACGCAGATATATTAAAGACAATTAATGTTTTTCATTACAAATAGTATTTGGCAATCTTCACTAGCTTGATCAGGAAAATTGGAAAATTTGTTTCTTTGAATGACACAATGGAAGAAGCCAAGAAACAACTGGATGAATAGTGAACTTAAACTCAGTCTGAGGCAGATGAAGCTAGGTGCTCTTTCAGATTAAATGCATCAGTTTGTTGGATGGTTTCAGCAGAGCCTTAGGCCTGCCTTCTGGTTTGTGCCATATTATTGTGCAAATTGAACTATGGATTGTACCTATGAGATGGAGATGATTTGAAATTTTTAAAAAGTACTTGATGAGCAACAGACAATATATGTAAAAAGGTTGTCATTCTTTACTGAAAAAAGGGCTCCTTGCACAAAACAAGCATCATGCTATTTTTTCATAAAGCAGCACAAGCTCATAAAGTGTATTCAACTTTACATAATTCATTTTCACTATGAATGGAGCTATTAATCCTGTCCTGCTGACTTACTTTTCTGGAAGGTGGCTCAGCTGAAGCAAATATTAGAACAGCAAGCAAATAATTTCAAGGAGTCACTGAAGAAACATAATCTACAGTCCAACAAAGAAAAAGAGAAGCTTTTGCAGGATCTTCAAAACACCATTAAAGAAAACCAAAATGTTAAACTGCAGTTGGAGGCATCACATCAAAAAGTCTTAAAAATGTTGGAGAAAAGCAAGAATCAGGAACTCAAGGTCAGTTTACTACTTACTAATGTAAAAAAAATACATATATTTATGGGGTAAACCATTTAAGTGAGAGCCAATTATCAAAACTCAGTTATCTCCAATTAGTTTGATGATGGGTTGCTCTTGTTGCACATAATTAATTATTCTGTGTTTTGAAACCTCCTCATCATCAGACTGGGAGGGGTGGGTTGGTTGGTGGTTTGTGGGATTTTTGTTTTGTTTTTTAATAATTTTGACATTTTAACTTAGGCAACATTGTGAATAAATTATATCCTACAGTTAGGCTGTAATGAATACAAGCTCCTTTATCTGTGCACCTGCTTCAGAAATACAAGGGAATTTGGGAGAGTTTTAATAACAGGACTCAGTTTTATTATGTTTCATCCATTATTAATTTATACATAAAAACTTAAGAAGTATAATAGACACATATAGTGATGTGTATTACCTTATGTACCTTCAAGAAATCATTTCAGTAACAGGATAGCCAAAGCTTTTAAAGGTTCAAGTGATTGATTTCAGTGCCAAAATGTTAATGCAATATACTAAAGTTCCAAAGACTGTTGCTGTCCAAGAATAAATCAACTTGAAAAATGTACACATGATTATGACATGGAATCCAGATGTCCCTGTTGGTTCCCACAGTTTAGTACATTAACATATGAAACACAGGTAATAAATACACCCTAAGTAGAATTTAATATCTTGTTAATATATTCCAAATAAAATTCAAGTTTTGACAAAACCAAGCTGAAGGCAGTGAGTTGGTAAGAATGAAACTGAGGATAGGAGTTTGCTTTCAGAGCCACTACAGAGCAGCTGCTCCATCATTTGCAGTGTACCAGCAGTACTTCTAATGACAGTGGAAGCCTGACCCAAGAGTGATTCAAGGAAGGATAGATGCCTTTGTCTGACACACTATAATAAGTAATGGCAAACCAGTCAAATCTGGAGGCCTTTGTGTGATGAAAAATAAAACTTTCTTTCTAAAGTCAAATAGTGCAAAGATATCAGTGTTATTATTTCACCATGCTCAACAAATCTGAGGTGATACACTGATAATTTATCTTGTACCTATTAAGTGTTAATTTTCGACTTCAGCTCATTTTTATGCTTGCATTGATAAAATGTCATGTAAACTGGTGATGAAAATTAAAGTTCTACAATGAAAGGCCAGTTTCATCATAGCATTACAAGCAAAACAACAATCTGATAAACAGGCTCCAACTACTTTTTTTGGGGGGACTTTTGCTTACAGGAGGCAGAAGAGCGTTTGAAAAAGGAATTTAATGAGACTTTGAAGATCCAGCATCAGTCTCATAGGCTGGAAATACAAACCTTGGAAGAGAAAGCAAAGAAAGAATTACATGATGAACTTGAGCAGATACAAAAGCAGCAAACCCTGTTGCTAGGTATAGTGCCTCATGTCATGCACAGTTCCTACTGCTTGATTATATATGTGCTGAGAACCACTGACTTTCATCCCATTCATTTTCTTTCCCATTTTCTGGGTGCTCAAATCTTTATTAATTTCTTATTTCATACCCTGCAATTTCGACAATATAATCTTAATATTCTTTGTTAACCAAGCTTTCAATTGTCAGCAGCAAAATGTTGCTGAGAGAGTTGTATGGTGTACAGCATTCAAGTATGCATTATCAGGCATATTAGATCAGAAAATTATAATTAGTTTATGTGATTTTACTCTTCTTTTTCTATGTTGAGGTGAATTTTTATATGTGCTTCAAGTCTGCTCTACTGAGTTCAGTGGAGATCAGTTGCTCCCTTTGTACTGTTTAGTCAGTTTCAAAAGTGCCCAAAACTGTTTAGAACTAAACAGAACACTGCACTAGCAAGATATGTAATATCTCCAGGTTTAATCTCAGGTTATTAAAGCTCATCTATAATTTTTTTTAAATTAAATAAAGAATAATTTGAAAGTATTTTGCATACAAACTGAATTTTATTCTTGGAATTTTTCCATCAGTAATTAAAATTTGCTAGAAAGATTTCTTGCTTTCTAATGTTTATACTTTGAATAGATAGATTCTCTTCTTCAAGAAAAATTGTAGGGAGACAACAGAGATAAAAATTTTTTCTTCATGTACTTGAAAAATTTGTACCTAATATACCCAAAAGCTGCAGTATATGACAGATGAGCTTGCATAAGCATTGTACTTCTCTAACACAACCAGAGCTTTCCTCAGTCTGCGTTATGGCCGTCTGTAGAACACCAGCTGAATTAACAGGGAAGCTGAGGGGTTCTAATCTTCAAGGTTAGAAGACACAATGGTGGTGATGTAGTCTGGAGTACACCTGCCACAGAATTACCTCTCTGACTCTGATGTGGACTCATTGCTTTTGTAGCTCCATATCACCTTACTATTTCTCAGCTGAGTTACCTCCCTAGTAATAGGAGGCCACTATGCTTAATAGGGAAGGAGTTGAGGAACAAAGCAAAATGTAGGGAGTTAATGTTTTCATCTACATTCCCTGTATCTGCCTTCCCCATCCAGCTGGCCTCTGCCTAAATGACTGTCTGATTGTTACTAGGATCTCTAAGGATGGAACTGTCCGAGCAACAGGCATCATGCACAAACCTAAAGAAGCAAATAGAAGAACTACAAATGGAGCTGAGGAGTGTGAGAACACTGAAGAAGCAACAGGCAAGGGACCAGTTTGTACTTGCCATGCTGTGTTTAGCAAAAGCAATAGTATCAAATTTCTCTCTCCAGTGATAATAAAAGTATACACTCTCTTCCAGAAATGGAATGGGTTTTCTGCCTTTACATCTCACTTGAAATGTTTATAATTTTTTACCCTGTAGGCAGGCTTTTTCTTTCAAATTAAAAATCAGAATCTACAAAAGAAGTAAATGAATGAATGTTACAATAAAATAAATTCTGTGGAGACTATAGAATATATTCAGGGACTTTTGATCCCTGATTTTGTCTTTCACATATGTAGCATGGCACATATAATTGAAAAATCAAATCACAAAAATGTAATGCACGCAATTCCAGGAAGATGTTAATATTAAAAATAAGAGTCTGTGAATAATTAAATGTGTCCTTTTTCTTAGGAAGGAAGTAGCCAAAGCCAGATCAGATCTCTTCACGATGAACTGGAAAAATGTCAGAGTGAAATTTCTGAACTCAAGAGAGAGAATTTACTTTTGAAGGACACAATGGAGCTGCTCAGTGCTGAGTTGGAGTCACAGAAGCAAGAAGCTGCACAGCTTCAGGATAGAGATAAACAACATAGAAGGTTTGCCTTGAATTCACACTTGACAATGCTATCTAAAGATTCAATAATAATGCCAGAGTGAGTGGTGTTGTTCTAAGTGTGATGCATGTCAGAATCTTTCCTTTCTAGAGTACTAATTTCAGAAGCTAGAAATTTTGCAAAATCGGTAGTTCATTTCACATTTTCCTCCAGCCATAATAGATGCATTTGAACTAATTGTTCATTATATGTTACAGAAAAGTATGTCTAGTGTATCCCCACAGGAGTGACCTAAGAAAATGTGCATAATGTCAGCCTTTCAAAGGCACTGGAAGACATAAATCCCAAACTCACTGAAGAGCTATTAAAAAAAACGTAGAAGTCTCTGAGAATAAATACCAGGTTTTTTACATACTCTGTAACTGAAACCAATGGACTGTCAGTTCCAAAGGGGACACTTGAGAATGCCATATATTCCCTGTAAGAGTTTTCTTTGGCTGTGGCAGCCAGATCTGCCCTGGGGAAATAAGGGCAGTGCCAGTGGATACTGACAGTGCCTCTGGGCTGATGGGGAGCCTGGTACTGTGAGAGGCTGTCAGGGCACAGGAAAGGCAAGGGGACTTGAGTCTTGGCCATCTTGTAGAAGGTAAACCATGTCTTAGTGTAGCCACAGGCTCAGCACACGTGGTGCAAATGGGTCTTCCCTTTTCTGTTCAAAAAAAGTGCAGAATCCCAGGATCAATTAGTCTGGAAAAGACCTCTGAGATCATTGAGTCCAACCTTTGACCAAACACCACCATGTCAACTAGGTGCCCATGGTCCATGGCACTTGGTGCCATGTCCAGTCTTTCCTTAAACACATCTGGGCAGCCCCTTCCAATGTCTAATCATGCTTCCTTTGAAGAAATTCTTTCTACTATCCAACCTAAACCTCCCCTGGCATGACCTTAAAGGAGACAAGACTGGGTTCACTGCTTACTGCATTTGTATGGCGGTTGAATCCTTTGAAATTTCTGGATGAACGTACTAAACACATTCTCTTTGTAGAGAGACTGAGGCATCTGGTGTGTGGGTACCTTTCAATTGATTTTTGCAATGGTATAGAATGTATGCCCCTAACTCCACAAGCTGTATATATAAAAGGATTTCTGAAGAGTGTGCTCTTAAAGGAATCTTTAAAATGATGGCCCATATAGTCCAGAGAAAAGCACTCAATGGATAGAATGTCTCTCAGCAGACTGTCAGAGTGGCCAGAGTAACTTCATTCCTGTCTACCAGTCAGTAGATATTTAAAGAATGAGTAACTTTTTTTTGGTTTTTTTTGCCATTGCACTCTTTGGAGAGTTACTTCAAAGTGAATTTCATTTCAAGCTTTTGAAGCAAGATCAACAGAGAGAATTGCAAACCAGAGAGTTTCATTAATGCCCTCAAGCTATCTTGAAGGAATTTAGAGCTTCTGTTCATGAAGAGAAGAATTATTCACGTGTCAGTGCTGAGGTCTAAAAGGCCTCAAATGCTAAGGCTGCTGGGCTGGAGGATTTTCTTTACAGGGAATGAACGGTGTAGCTCTACTACAGTAAGCATTTGGGAAGGAAGCATTAATGGAAATTATGTAAGGAGAAACCCTTCCAATAAATGGAGGTAGGACCAAAGCACTGAAGTGGACTTAGGTGCCTGACTCAGGCTGCTCTGAAATTAACCCAGGGAAGACTTGAAAAACTAACTTGCAGCTCTTGTTTTGTTTTTGCCAGACTAATAATTTGTGTAGGGGAATAGCTAAATTGGTGCATATAAGCACTTGCTATTTTTACTTTTAACAATAGTGCCCCAGTCTTATGCCAGTTTCTTTTCTGATTTGAAAGCTGATAGTGGCTCGTTACTTGCATGTGACAAATTTTTATAACAAATTACTTAAAATTACTAGTCCTACTCTTGCCAAGTAAGTGAAACCCATAATCTGCTTGAAGTAACAATTCCTCTTTCAATTCTCTTGAATTGTGTGAATTCCACCTCCAGTACAGAACGCTTTTACAAGGATGAGGATAAGAGCAGACAAAGGTGGTTTTACGGGAAGAGAGAACAAGTCCACAAATGGCTCTTCTGAAGGAACATATTCTACTCCTGAATATTCATTTCAAGGGATCCTTCTCCATTTTTTACCCTTATTCTTCTGCTGCTTATTTTATGCTAAGTGCCAAATTAGTCACTTCCATGGCTGTGATCTAATTTTAAGGGGAGAAAACTTTCATGGACCTTTTGGTCTTTCCTGAAGCCTTTCAAAAACAAGTGAAACAGGATTGGGAATACATTAAAAAGAAGATAGGGGAAAATGAAAGATAAGCCTATTGTCTTTTGTGAAATTGCAGTTGTTAATATGCTGAGTTGAGTATGTCTATTTTAATTAGTAAACCATAGAACATGGGCTCTCTATTGAGTTAAAGTTTCTCCAAGTAATAGCAAACAAAAATCAAACTATGATTCTTCAATAGATGCCTATTGCTTTTGGGATTGATATTAGAATGCAGTGTTATGGTTAGACTTAAGAAAATATTAAGCTTTTTTTAGTTTTCAGCTTATGGTCTTAATCATATAGCAGTATCTTCCAAAATATATTGTGTGAAAAAGATTAATGTTATAGTTAAAAGCATTTCTACAACACTGATAGGCAGTATGTCTTGAAATGTATCATGAAAACCTCATGTTAAAATGCCAGATATTTCAACATGATTTTGCTTAATACAAGTAAGTTCCTATGGTACTTTGTTGTCATATTTTATCGTTAAGATTGATGTACAAACTAACCCTAGACAGAATAACAATAGCACCATTATATGGAATAGACCTTGAATTTCCTGAAGGGTGAAGGTCAAGTACTTTTCAAAATAATTTTTCTCTTCCTCAGTGTTAAAATATTTCTTCTCAGATTGCAACCAAAATGTCAGTCAAGTCTGTAGGCAGAAGCCAGATCTTTGCCCAGTTAACTACCTTTGCAGTCAAAAAAACTCCTCAAAAGTGCATGCTTTGATCAGTGATAATAAATTGATAATATTGAAACCTGAGAATTCAGACATATTTTAATACCAATGAAAGGCTACTGGTAGAAGACCTCAATATCAAGCATAAAAAAGAACTGGACATACTGAAACAAGATCACCGGAAGGAAATTGAAAACATAGTATCTGCTTTCAGCAGCACTCAGGCACATCTCCAAGCAAAGATTTTCTCCTTAGAAACTGCGTAAGTAATTTAACAATAAACTCTGGCTCATGCTGGCAATGAGTTCTGTTTATATTTATTATTCTTAGTACATACCATTTTTTTATTAATCATAAGTAAAATGTTATAAGGATCAAAATAGAAGTGTATAGGTATTGTCTTTGCAAACCAAAAAGACCCAGCCACATTGTAATAAATTCTGGATATTGTTTAATCTAAAGCACTGTACTTGAAGTTTTACAATGCTAAATGAAAACTTGCATATAGGATCTAGAAATTCTATGAAGTGTAAAATCATCTGTGATACCAGAGGCCTCGATCCACGTACTTAATTTTGTTCAGCAGAGCAGCATCTTTGAATAAAAGCTTCTTAACATCATTCTCATTCCCTTAAAAATTTCCAAGGAAAATTATGCTCATGTAAATAAATGCAGTTTGCAGCCCCCTGTGGATTTAAGAAGTTCTGTGGTGCTTCAGATTGAACAGGAGAGATCCCTCAGAAATAATCCCTTATATATATCCCTCCTCTTTTTCTTTTATTCCAACTGTTTAGAAGCAGCAGAAGTCCAGAAGAGAGACTTGGCATGTAAGCAGGCCTCTAACCTTTAAACCTTTCAGATGTAAAGATTTATCTTTTTATTTTAACTCAGAGATAACTCTAAGATATTAAGAGTCAGGGGTAGTCTTCTCGAAAATATTTACCCACACATTAAAAAAAAAAAAAGACATTTAAGGAATTAAAAAAGCTGAACTCAGACTACAGGTTTTGACTTAGCAGGGTTACTAAAGCAGCATGTGTATGCAAGCCTGTCTTCATGAAAGTTACAGGAATTGAGTCATTCTAAGGATTCCAAAGTTACTGGGTCAGAAAAGAGAACAAATAGATGAATATAGATACGCATAGCTACTCTGACACTGATTTCTTTCTTTAGGAAACTAGACTGGCAACATAATGTGCAAGCTTGTTATTATTTTACATAAGGGGATGGATTTTACATGGGACAGGTGTTGTGGATTAACCCTGGAAATTTATTTTGGAACTCCAGAAGATTCTATACCTCTACATAAACCATGTACAGGTGCCCATTTTATAAAAATCCAGTTTTATTGGAAAGGCCTGGCTGTGTCCCTGTATTCTAGACTTGGAACATAGGGCAGAGTATATCCAAGGTTTCTCTTGAACCTAATCTGAGGAAGTTTTATTCTGGTCTGCATTTTCTTTGGTACAGACTTAAAGAATTAGAAGAAAAGTCAAGAAAGTGGGAGTCCAGGCCTGAAGACACACACCTTATAAACTGCCTGCAAGACAAATTAAGTGAGAGAGAAGAGATTATCAAGCAGCTGGTGGTAAGACTGCTTTATATGGACATATGTATTCCAGAATCTATTGCAAGGCTCTATTCACACATTGCTTCATTCTGGCTGTTTCTTTCTGTTCTGGAATACTTTGACAAATGTATCTTTCCTTACCAGCTTCCCACGTGTTTTCATACACATGACTTTGTTTCCCTTCAGGAAGGAAGAAAATGTCAGCATTCATTTTCAGCCAACACTGAATCCTACAGGAATCGGTCATTTTCTTTCAACCCTAATACAGCATGCCTGACTCCCTCCATGAAGGTAGGATGAGCAATGCAATTAAAATCACAATTTTAATTTTGTGATAGTTGATTTTGACATTTTGATATCAAATTTGGATCGTTTGATAGAAAAATATCAATAGTTTGATAGTTTTATTCCTAATTTGAATAAGTATTTTTGATAGTTTTATTACTATTTGGATCATATCAGGACAATAAAAATGCTATCCTTTTTTTATGATGTTATTCAGTAGAATTCTTTCCAGTGCCAACCTACAGTCAGTTGTTGAGCATAGGAGAAATTTATTAGAAGTATATATGCAACATAGATAACAGGTATTTAAGCCAATATAAAACACTAGAACTCTGACATCAGTCTTCCATTGGGATAAGCATAGACATTGCTTGCAGATTTGGGAGTTGCTAATCGGAGTATTGCATGCAGTGAGGAAAATTAGGAATCTGTTTGAGTTGCTTGGGATCTGCCCTCAGCCCCTCTGCACGATATTTCTACAAATAGCCATAGAAAGAAGGGAGGTCAAGTTGGTGGAAAGCACCTTGATATGTCTAAAATCTCAGGGTCAAATACATGTTGTTTTAACTGGATGACAAAATCCATGGATACAGCATACTCTGAGAATTTAATTTAAATGCCTATAGAAAAAGATAGAAATCTTCCTATTTGGGTGTACCTCATAAGGTATTTGGGAATGAGATATTGTTAAGGTTTCATAGAATAAATTGTAAAAAATGTGTATGTAATGAAGTTTTCTGTTACAATAAAAAGCAGAAGAAAAAGGTTGAGGTGCCCAGTCGTGTTGTCAGTGTTCCGAATTTAGCTTCCTACGCAAAGAGCTTTTTGAGTTGTGACTTGAGATCAAAAAGAAGTGCTCCTCAAATAACAAAATCTACAAGCTTAGACCGGAGTTCCGGCTGCCTCAGGGTGGGCTCTCCATCAACACAGTCCTCAGACAGCAGTGCTGCCACAAGGTACTTGTCCATTTTGTATGATGATAAATGAATTCATATTTAGAATCTTGTAGGCATTTCAAAGACATTTGACATGTAGAAATACACAACAATGTAAGGTTCCTACTGTGCAGTGAACTCTGTGTTTGGTTTCCTACAGACAGGTCCAGAACTGTACTGTAAAAGTGGGCTATAATTCCTGCCCAGCAGACCTTATGCTTGCAACCCCTCCTGGTAGGGGAAAAAAGCCCAAAACAAACCAACCAAACAAAACACACACTGACACACACATCCACACCAAAAAAAATAAAAAAAAAAAATAAAAAAAAAAAAAAAAAAAAAGGGACGACACACACATCCACACCAAAAAAAAAAAAAAAAAAGGGAAAAGTAGCTCCAAGTATTTAACTAAGAATGTTGTTAATTTTGAACATGGCATCTTGGTAGATGTGGATGACATATTTTTATTTTAAGAGGTATTTGAATGAATCTAGGCCGATCATTTGGCAAAGGTTAGAGATTTGAAAACTGATTATCTTTGCTTTTTTTCTTTCTGGGGAGCTTCAATTCTTCAAATTTTTGAGTTATGTAAACGCTGTTCAGTGTTTTATAACATAAACACTCTCTTCAAGAAATAGTTAAAAATGTACGTAGCTAATATACAGTTAAAAAATCCCCAAACCTGACCACTGTATTTCAGGGCAAAATCCAGCCTTCTCAGCTATCTCCTGGTGGAGATTTAGTTATCCTGTGAAAAATGTGCAAGAGAATTCTTTCCTTGGGGGCAGATGGTGCTGACTGCTGACAAAAACAACCTGGGACACAGGCTTAGATCCTGCTTGGCAATTCCCACTTCTTTAAGATACAAACATGCTGTGTCATGCCAAATGACTGCCAAGGCAAATGGGATTTCTGTTTTAGTGGGAAACAAATGTGCAGGGAAAATGAGGGTGGCTTGGCTGCTACTCACTTAATTCTTTTAAATCAGTCAATCATAAGTTAAGTCCTATTTGCTATCATATGTTTAAAAAATCCTAAATGATGGAAAATCAGGGACTATGTAATAGGATTGATTATAAATGCCAGGTAGCGTTCAGATAAATCTTTCTGTTTCAAACAGAGCTTTTACGCAACATGTTAAATGCATAAATTGTATCTGGTATTTTTAAGAGTGAATTGCAGCTGCCATTCTCTGATTTTCAAGACTTCATATCCTTGAAGCATCCTTTTGTTTAGTTTTTTGGGGGTGTCAGGTTAAGAACTATGTTCAGATGTTTCTGCATAGCTGTTGAGCTCTGCTTCATGCTTTTCTTAATGTTACAGTCAGTACTGCTAGTCCAGTTACGTGGCTGGCACAGATCCCACTAAAACTGTAGCTGGCACCTTTTGGTCTCATCCATTCATGTGAGCACAGAACCATTCAAGGGATGATGAGTTTTTCTGGGAAAAGTATTACATGTTGATAAGATTGTAAGTAAGTAGGTTGGTGATGCTAATGCTTATTTGTTTGCACAGGACACATGGCAATGAACCACCACAAACCAAAGATGACCAAAAACAAGACCCTCAGCATCAAGAATGGTTTACTAAGTATTTTTCATTTTAAAGCAAACTATTTCCATACTTCTCAGAATTACTATAAAAGTCATTCCTGTTTTCTTTTTAGGGATGATAATCCAATAGATGATTTAACAGAAGAAAAAAAAAATTTCTAAGTTAGGAAATACCTGCACTCTCTTACATCTGGTAACTATGGAGTTACAGGCATGAATTTCAGGAAAATGCATTTTTTTAACAACTCCTGTAAAAAATGAAGGAAAAGTTTGGATACAGCTGTGTGAAAAGACTTTTTAATGAAGAGACTGTATCACTCCACAATTTCATTAAATATGGAATTTGGACTCTGATATGTTCTGTCAATTTGGCACCAGCTGAAAAAATATCTTCCTTCTGTACATTTATATGCTTGCTTCATCAGCTCTTTAAAGTAAGTTCTGCATATAATAATGTAATTTTAAAAGTTTTTAATGCTTTTTGTTAAATTAATTTTAAGCTGTACAGCATGTAGCACACCTTCAAAAATAGCATGTTTATAGCAGAAATAATTTCTGGTTTGCTTCATAAACTGTTTTATATAGTCAGCTATTTGCTATGTAATATTCCCGTTGAATTTCAATATATGTATCAGCCTGATAAATTAGGATGATGTGTATGTACGAACATTAAAGCTAGTAAATCATCCAATTTCTGTGTTTTTCAAAAGAGTTCTATGTTAATGCTGAAGTAAGTCAGACTTGTACAGTGAGTTCCAGTGATGACAACTGCACCCTTGTACCTTTTAACTCCATACTAATTTTATGCCCATATAAAAGCAAAGTGGGGGAATGACTACATTTATCAGATCATGCTAATTCATTGCCGGTAGGAAAGAACCCATGAAGAAGTTGACTCTTGGGTAATTAACCCATTAAGTGTAAAAGGCAGGCAAATGTGCAACCAGCAGCCTGCTATTTAAGACAGGACAGTTCCTCTTCAGTTGCTTTGAATCCCCATTTCATTTCAACCAACAAGGCCCAGCTACCTAAAAAAATGTTATACATGCAAAGAGGTGTACGCCCAGCCTAACCTCTCCTCACCTCCCACAGCCAGCCAGAGCTACACCAACAGAGCACTGGCACTCACTTCAGACAAAACAGCCACTGTATCTCACGGGTGGTGCAGAGGTGGGCGGAAGGGCAGAACACTTCTACATACCAACACTTTTCATCCCAGTTATCTAGTATTTTTTCCAAGAGGAACTGCTTGGTTGGAAAAGTGACTTTGGCAGTAGATTTGGCAAAAAGGCATTTTTCATACTTGTAATCAAGACAGAGATTAAATAGTGTACAGAAACCCTGATGGGTACCTTGGCATCTGTGAGGATGGAAATGTGCAGCACTGTTTTAATTACTTTTCATCCACACTGCCCCAATAACAATATAAATTTCAATACACAATTAGCAATTCTTAGTTCCAGGGTTACAACAATTAATTATTCAACTCTGCCCCCCAAAAAGTAGAAAAGTGGATGAATTAAATTTATTGCTTAGTAATACAGAGAAAGGACTCTTTTGCTATTTCTGCTTCCAAAAGCTTTTTTGGCTACATTTAACTTACTAAATAGAGCACTCCAATAGAAGGTAAATCTGTATTCTGGTCAGTGGTGGTGATCCTACCTCCACAATGAGTGGTCTGTATTTTGGAGCAGGCATTTTGGAACACCTCTTCCAGTAGCCTGAGAGTCAGAACATCAGTAATATGAGGCCTCCATTACATATCCCACTCTTTTGTGTGTGTTTTTCCATTTCAATTCATCCTGTAAGAACCAAATTTGAATATCCCAAGACACGTTTCATGAGGTGAGCCAGTATGATGGGAGAGTGATAATTCACTTAAAAAAAAAAGTGATCTGACCTACATACAGACAATTCTAAGAGTGTTTCTGTTTCTGCAGTGGTACTCATGGATAATTAGTGGATCACAAAACATTTAAACATTCCAGAAAAATCAAACACTAATCTTTGCAAATATTTTGATCATACCAAAGAGAGGAGAAAGCAAGGGCCACTCTCTCTAGAAGGAACCGGATGCATTCTGGAATACACACTTCTACCAGAAAGCACCCTGAACAGGAACTCTGAGTATTTTCCATTAAAACATAAAATCATTCCGTATTTCTGTAATAAAAGAAAATAATAAGAAAATTTATTTGGCTTATTTGTTTTAACTATATCTGCAGTACAAATTACATTATACAAAAAGCATACAAAGAACACCATTGCTTTTAAAATATTGAGCTGTGTAAAACTGAAGATTATGTTTGCTTCATTGGAGCAGGAATATTTGCAGATGCTTGTTCCAGGTAAGCTAATGGACCTTGAGGCATTTCTGCAGGCTTTTTGTGCTGTACACTGATGTCTTCCAGGACCTGTTGCCAGTGTCGCAGTTTACTCAAATGCTTCTGAATTAATGCTTCTTTTCTCTGCAATTCATTTCTTAATTCTGAAACATCCTGTGGATGAAAACATTGTGTATTAGTAAATAGACAGTATTGAAAAGGATAACCAACCCCACATAAAGAGCATGTAACTTTTTTAGACATTGAGTTTTTTGAGTAGAAAAATGGAATAATGGAAAAGTGTCTAATGATACAGAGGGCAAGCACTGTGAATGCACTAGTGCTGTTCACCTATGTCACAAATTTCAGAGATCACCATCCCCAGCAAAATCTGACTAACTTGTTGGTCTCTTCCAATGAATTATCAGCTGTGTTCCAATACTCCACACAGCAGCAGGTATCCAACTTCTCCAGGTTCATGATGAGTTATGGTAACAGCCAAGTTCTACCAACTTAAGGTACAGCATCATGTTGAGAAACCCAAAATTATGAACACAGTGATGAACCTTATCTGATCTAGCACAGGACAGGTAAATTAACATACCTCTTTAATTACTTGTTCTGGTTTCTGGACTGACAGTTGCAGTCTTTTTTGTAGAAAAAAGCATTCAGTTTGTCTTGCAACATCCAGAAACTTTTGGATGCACTGATCAACACCTAAACATATAATAACAATATTGAAAGAACAGCTTCCAAAATAATTAGATTTCAGGCTGGTAATGGTAGTGGTCTATGAAAAACACTTTTCACAGTACCTTCTAGAACAAAAATCTTCAGACTATCTAAAATAATGTATTTATAAACCAGTAAGTCCCTGTATAAGACACTGCTTTGCAAACATACAAGTTATTTTAGAAGTGCAGGACAACACTTCCTCCCTCATTTTATTTTATTTCTGACAAGGAGTAATAAAATAAATCATGGAACTTGGTTTCATGCTTAAGCAACAAGCTCAGTGTAGGGTTCTCAAATATGCACTTATTGAGGACAATATTCTGTCCTCATATACTACACACTACTGTTTTGGTAATAAAAGTTGTTCCATGCCAGTACATGAGTATAATCAAATAGCCAGAAAGGAGTTTTAAAAAGCATTATACCGATTTTGAAACGCCATTTGAGTGAAGTTTCAGAAAATTTTCAGGGACAACTGCACTTCTAAGGAGTAGTCAAGGGCCATTTTTCAAAGTCCTGTTCATACTAATATTTATTCCAGCTCCACGGAAATCACTCAAGCCCTAAAGCAGCGCTACTGAGCTGCCTGGCCGGCCCTTGCCATGTCCCTTCACTCCGCTTCCGAATGCACCGCATCACCTCCCTGGTGCTTGGGCGCGTTTCACTGCACGCCAAAAGCGGCACACTCCGCCCTTCCCGCGGCAGCCCGGGCATTCCCGGCTCCGCTCCTCTCCTGCCACCGCTCCCAGCAGCGTTCCAGCGGGAAGGGGCGGCGCCCTGCTCCCGCCGCGGGCTCACCGGTGCGGATCTCCTCCTGGTCCGTGCCGTTCACGTAGTCCTGGCTCACCAGCGAGGCGAAGCAGGCCTGCGGACAGGGAAGCACGGCGCTGAGCGGCTGCGGGGGGCCGGCGCAGGCAGGGCAGCGCCCGCCCGCGGCTGCCCCCCCTCACCTCGAAGGACGCTTCCAGCTCGTCCACCAGCGTGTTGTTGGGGTTGCGCGGCCCCGCGGGCGGTGGGATGAGGCCGGGCGGGCCGGGCGGGCCCGGCGGCGGCGGCCCCGGCGCCTGCGAGCCGAACATTCCGCCCAGCGCGCCCGCCATGGCGGCAGCGGCGGCCGCGCATGCGGAGGAGCGGGGCGGGAGCGGGGCGGCCCCGCCCGCTGAGGGCCCGACCCTCGGGCCACCCAGCCGGAGGCGTCGGTGCCTCGCTCCTCGTCCACTGGAAAGGGTCTGGCACCATTCTCTTGGCACCTGTCTAAGAGATATTAACGAGATCCCTGCTTAGACTTCTCCAGACTAAACAGACGCAGCTCCTGCAGTCTCTCCTCATAAGAGATGTTCCAGGCCGTCCGTCCTCAGCCCTCTGCTGGACCCTCTCCAGCAGCTCCACGCGTTCCTTGCATTGACCAGCCCAGAACTGGACAGGGCTCTCCAGAGGTGGCCTCAGGAGGGCAGAGGAGGGGGGAAGGATCTCCTCCCTCAAGCCGCTGGCCACACTCCCATGCACCGCAGGATAGCACTGGCCCTGCTGGAACAAGGCAAGCAGAAACAGCAAAGCCATCCGCCCCAGAGGGACCCTCCTCCTCCTCCAGCCTTTGCCCTGCCTGCGGCTCGCAGGTGCGAGCCTGGGGAAGCACTGCTTCAGCATCACTTGTTCCACAACAGCATTTAACAAAAACCCACCCGAAACCAAAATAAATTCCCACCTCATGGGCTTGGATCTCCCAAATTGTCAAAAAAACATCACCTCAGGTTTTAAGTGTCAGGTCTGTTTGATGTTTTAACTGATTCTGGGAGTAATATCCCTGCTTGAAGGGTGGCCACCTCACGCCAAGAAAGAGGGGAACTATCAGAATGACAAAAACCATGTGAGATAAGGGCAGGTCCCCCTAAAAACCACAAACATTAACTCGCACCCACTAGTTTTCTGAAAATATACACTTCTTGACATGTTTATAACTTACTACATAATTCTGTGCTGAAGCCATGCTAATGCTGATTACACAGCATCATTTCTGCCTCAGTACATACCAAAAGCCGTTTAGTTTTTCTAAGGAAAAAATGCCAGAATGGTGTTTCTATGGAAAACTTCGCAGAGTTCCCATTGACACCACCTACAGTTCACTCAAAACTGAGGTACATCTATCATTGATTGTTTATTCTCAGTCAAAATTCACATTCAAATAAGGTATTTTTGCTTACAACAGTTATGCATATTTGCATATAAAATAGGTGTCTCAATAGTTCCCATTATCATGTTTTGGTATTAAATATTTCAGTAGTTCAAACAGAATAATTTTTATTTTGCTGCATAATAGGGTAAGGGATGAAAAATCTCACAGTCGAGATATTCTTTCCCAAGTAACATTTTATAAAATGCATTTTTAGTTAATTGCCATAGTGCAAATATGCTTGGGGCATTAATTTATGAACATATGATACCTTTTAAGATTTTTTTTCTTAAGGCAGAGTGGATGATTTTAGAACAAGTATTTTTATTTGGCATTGTGACTGTCTTGACTTAATCGAGCTGCAAACTCCACGAGCGTTCTCGTGGGCCGCCCTGCCATGCCCTTGCGGAGATAGGGCACCTCGTCTTTATTTGACATGACCCCAGCTATATCCAAATGAGCCCAGTGAGAGGCAGTCACAAATTCCTTCAGGAATGCAGCAGCTGTGCATGCTCCTCCAGCTCTGTGGGAAACAGAAAGATGTATTGTTCCCAAAGCAATTCCAACATCACAAATATCAAACAAATAGGTTGAAAGAAAGGGGCACATGGAAGGTATTGGTGCATCTTACCTGCTGTACTTTCCAATGTTGCTCACATCTGCAAGAGGACAGTCTGTGACTTGTTTTGTGTAATGCTCAAAAAGAGGCATCCTCCAAACTCTGTCCCCTGTCAAAATGCTGGCCTGAAAAAAACCCAGTGATATTTTGGGAACGTCTTTTTCTAAGTGCACTTGTAAGCCCTGTTTTCATGCATGCTTCTTTTTGTTTAGGTTTTACCAGTCTAAAAACCTTCAGCCCATTGGATATACACTGTTTGCAAAACAAAACAGGCAATCCTGCTTTTTAAGTACTTTAGTGTTAGCCATAAGGCAACATCAAAAAACCATATTTTTTTCTGTTTTTCCTTTTTCCTGACAATAGAAATCCTTTCCCTCAGAAGCTTCCTTCATCCATCAGACCTCAGCCACTCACAAGGCCTCTCTGAATTTCTGTATCCATGTTGTTAAGCAAGATCAATTATCTTTTTAACATGAACTAATTACTGCCAGTAGTCCAGAGTTTATGCATATGTAGTGAGTTATCAGAACATGCAGATCCCTAAGATGTTTGGTGTACGATATTACATCTCAATGAAGAGCTAGTAATTAACAGTCAATATTATTTTCAACTAAATAGAGTACTGACATCATTCCTCTAAAATTTCAAAACATAATAACATCTCTCAGATTTGCATAAAGACTTTCAGTAGTCTACTGACTTTTCAATAAGACATATCACTGAATTACTATTATGATTTAACAATAATGCAGGTGACCTGCCTCATAGAGGTGAGTCCAAAGCCAGGATGAATTTGTGAACACTCCAGCTGCAGCAGATCCCAATGCAACATCCATGGCACCTAAAGAAACACACCTTCAAGTTTATATGACGAAGGCAAAGGTGGACTTGAGCTATTCCTTGCATCCTAACTCCTCAAAGAACTTTCCATTTTTAATTCCCATTATCAGTAACAGGTATTTATCAGACTGCAAAACTTGAAGACTTTAGTATAGTGACATTTTTGAAAATCTGAACATCTTTAGAACATTTATGTATTCTAAAAAACCACAAGAAATCATAAAAATTATATTCTGTTTTCCATGAAACTAAACTTTCTGGTTTCAGATTGATGTTTCTTAGAAATAGTTCTAAGATAATGTATTAAACAATAACAGCATCCTTTTAAAAACCATAGATATTATTATTGTCATATAGAAAATACAAGTGAATGGCTTTTTCCAGTTTATAGACCTCTACAATTTTTGAGCTGTTTTCTCTTTTGTGAATTTCACTTACATAGACTTATGCACATCATGTGTAAATCTACTTGATTAAACATTTAATTTATTAAAATAATCCTTATCAAAATATTAAACCATAGGATTAGATATTTATCTATTTGATGCCCCAGAATTGCTTATCTAATACCAACACTTAATCCTTAGTGAGATGAAAAAGAAAATAAAAATAGTTTAGCAAAATATGTCAAAGAAATTTCTATGGGAGCCCTCCTTCTTCCTGCTTGGTGCCCAAGGATCCCAGAGAGGAATACTTTTATACAAGCTAACAATCTTAAAATCAGTTTCCCCTCTGTCTATTGAAATTTTCCACAGCATTTGAACTGGTAAAACTGATGGAACATAATTTAAGGCATTAGCAGAGAATCTGTATAAGCATAATTATTTTGCTTAGCATATTAATTAAGCAACAGAGTAGAGTCCTGTCTGAATTACTCTTCCACGTTTGCTTTTATTGCAGCTACAGTCACCTCACCCATGACAGCTTGTTAGTGAGTTCATGCATACAAAATTGCTGGTTTTAAATTTAAATTTACAACTTCATTATTATACAGCTGTAGAGATGAAACAATTAAAACACATAATGCCTAAAAGTATGCAAATTACACAAAAATACTTCAGTCAAACAAATTCCTGAGGAATGATGACGACTCTCCTGCCATCATGGAGGCCTGAGCCAGCTCAAAGTGGGAGAACTGGCACTGGCTGGGTCAGAGCTCAGGCACTCAGCAAGGCATTCAGGAACCTGTCTGGGCTCCAGTGTGCCAGATGGACTGGGCAGGACTCTTCCATGAACATGTCACCACCTCTGCATCACACAGGCCTGGGAGCTGAGAGGGTTCAGCTCAGAGATGGAAGAAGCACAGGGAAGCACTGTGCACAAGCACTGAAGTCTGTGTAGGTTTTCCTGCTCTTGGCTCCAGCTGGGCTGAGCCAACCCAACTTCATCTCCACTGCTGAGCATGTACCCTGCACATCCCCTCCCCACTCCAGAGACACACATGCTGTGCTCACTGCTGTCATGAAACATGGAAAATAATCTCAGTTGCCTTTGAATTAAGGTGGGGTTTACATACACAGCACAACTACTCCACAGCCCAACTAATGAGTAACACAAAACTAACTTCAAAGTGAGCAGGGAAGAGACACTGCTTACCTGTTAATGTTGCAGCATTCACAATAGCCCTTGCGTTAAAATTATGGGCATAACAGAGAGCATCAGCTAACAGCAGTCTTCCTTCTGCATCTGTGTTATCTACCTTCAAAGGCAAAATCAGTAAAAAACAGATAAAGTATCATAAATGTGTCTTTCACTGATATATTTCTCACATATCTTAAACAGTTGTTGGATAGAGACCCTAGAAACTTCAGATAATGAAAAATTTAGTCAAACTACACTGAAAAAAGAAAGAAAAAAACATAGTATTGATATACAGTTATATGTAAAAGCAGTCTGTGGCTGAGGTAAGTCATCCTTCAGCACTACAACCTCCTCTGCATGCTGGGTGTCTGTACTGCTGGCTCCTCAGAAGAGCCTGGAGATTGGAGAAGTGTCTCAGGGGAGCACACGGGCTGCATCATGTGCTTGAAGCTACCAGCACTTTCTTGCAGATTTCTTCTCGGTGGGGGAATACATGCCCAGTCTTTTTCCCTCAAAGCAGAGGGTGGCTGAACTCAGTTTTCAGAGATGAATGTAAAGAAATGGAAGGTTCATCAAGTCAGAAGTGGCAGAATCACAGAAATTCAGACAAAAAGAAAGCCATCTACTTCTGCATTAAATCAGTGATCTACAGCACAATGGCTTTCAGTACAATTTAATCTATTAGATGAGTATGGAACCATTTGTAATAAATATGAAATATGTATCTTGGGTACTGATTTGGCAAGCTCCTTTGAACCAACAGCCCCTATGACTCAGAGTTCTGATTGTACTGAGCATTTTGGCAATGTAAAGACTGTAGTTACATCAGCAGGAAACTGATGTCTTACTCTGATGTCCAGATAGCAAGGAATTCACCTCAAGAGTCTGCTGGAAGCAATTAAAGTTATTTATTTGGACTTCGAGCCTGAAT